CAATTCAGTATCTGACCAAATGTCTCCCTCTTCTGCCCCGAAATATGGCATCAAGTAATGGCTAGAAAAGTATTTTTGCAGAACATTATGATTTCACAGTGAAGTTGATCTTTGACCTTTTGGATATAAAATGTCACCAATTTACCATTACATCCTATCAGACATTTGTGTGAATTTTCATCATAATGAGCATATGAATTCTCAAGTTATGGCCCAAAAAACATGTTTTGTGGGGGTCACAGTGACCTTGACCTTTGACCACCAAATTCTAATCAGTTCCATTCTTGAGTCCAAGTGAACATTTGTGCCAGATTTGAAGAAACTCCTTCAAGGCCTTCTTGAGATACTGTGCTCACAAGACTGAGACAGATGCAAGGGCACAATGATCTTGACCTTTAACCATCAAATTCTAATCAGTTCCATTCTTGAGTCCAAGTGGACATTTTTACCAGGTTTGAGGAAACTCCCTCAAGGCCTTCTTGAGAGATTGCGTTCACAAGACTGAGACAGATGCAAGGGCACAATGATCTTGACCTTTGACCACTAAATTAATCAGTTCATTCTTGACACCGAGTGGACATTTGTACCAAATTTGAGGCAACTCCCTCAAGGCCTTCTTGAGATATTGCATTCACAAGAATGAGACAGATGCAAGGTCACAATGATCTTGACCTTTGACCACCAAATTCTAATCAGTTCCATTCTTGAGTCCAAGTGAACATTTGTGCCAGATTTGAGGAAACTCCCTCAAGGTGAGATATCACATTTAAAAGAATGAGGCAGATGGACGGATGGACAACACGAAAACAGGAAATTCTGAGGAAACTCCCTCAAGGCCTTCTTGAGATATTGTTCACAAGAATGAGATGGATGCAAGGTCACACTTCTCTTGACCTTTAACCACCAAATTCCAATTAGTTCACCATTAAATCCAAGTAGACATTTGGATCAAATTTGAGGAAACTCTCTCAAGGCCTTCTTGAGAAATTGCATTCACAAAAATGAGACGGATGCAAGGTCACAATGATTGTGACTTATAACCACCAAATTCTAATCAGTTCCATTCTTGAGTCCCAGTGGACATTTGTGCCAAATTTGAGGGAAACACCTTGAGGCCCTCTATAGATATTGTGTTCACGAAAATGAGATGGATGCAAGGTCAATGTGATCTTGACCTTTGAACACCAAATTCTAATCAGTTCCATTCTTGAGTCCAAGTGAAGATTTGTGCCAGATTTGAGGAAACTCCTTCAAGGCCTTCTTGAGATATTGTTCACAAGAATGAGATGGCTGTAAGGTCACAATGCTCTTGACCTTTGACCTCCGAATTCTAATCAGTTCATCGTTTTGTCCAAGTGGACGTTGGTGCCAAATTTTAGGATATTCCAAATAAATCCAATAAAAACTTCTTTAGATGTAAAGTGTCAAAAAAGTAACAAATGGACATTAAAATTTTCCATGCCCCAATGTTACGTCTTAAAATTATATACATGTCTATAAAATAAAAGATATTCACAATTACAATGGTATAAAGAGAGAAAAAAAATCAAACTGCCACATTTGAGAAGCTGTTTGGTATTTTATCCAGATCAATGACTTCAACTATTAATTGTGTATCAAAATTGCTCCCAATCAGCAGACAAATCTATAAATTACAATGCCAATATCAGCCAATAAAACCAGACATACTTCGTCATTGTAATGTGACAAAACAAAAGGATAACAACTCGATTAACCTTTCTTTCAAAATTGCTTTATTTCTTCCCGTATTTTTTCAAGCCAAGTTTTTTATGACTCCTTTTTTATATTAATGTAATTAAAAAAAGATAAAACTTGGGATCTTTTTTTGTCTTTATGTACAAGCACGAAAAAAAAAAGTTTAGGAAATAACAATGAACGTAAAAGAATCCCTGCACGATAACACTGTAAAAAAATGAAAGAGAACAAAAAGCATTAGAGTGGAATCAAACACCTCTAGTTTACAGCTCCTTACTTCAGCAACAAGCTCATGTTAACACACACACGCACACTTTCAGACATACACGTGATGTCAGCAGGTTAGTTTAGGTGAATGGTGAGGTGGAAAGTTTCAGGGCACAAGCTCACACTACACAGCGCAGCCAATATTCTCAGTTGAAGAGATGAAAACACAATAACAGACTAAATCATTCATGCACACACACACAGCAATACTGTTTCTTTCTTCTCTTTCCGAGGCCTTCACAACAACCACGACGACGCTGCCATCATTTACTCAAACACACGAACATGACACATGCAGTCCGACGTGGGCCAGTTTATAGCGTGACTCAGAGAAGACTGATAGTTTTCTTATCGTTGGTTTAATTTTGGTTTTCCTGGGATCTTGGCCGACATCACAAATCCATAAATGTGTAGCATAAAGACGTCTCGTTCCTCTCTTGATATAAGTAATGGAGTCCTAATGTCCATCGCACAGTTGACACCATAAACAGCAGAGCACACTGCTAAATGTTGACTGTTTTGCAGATAAAGATATGTCACTTGGTAAATCTGTAAATTTATTTTCATGAGATGATGTCACAGGTGTATAGGAGCCCATTTTTACTAAGAAAGGCAAAAAGACAGAGTGATGGAGTCAGAATATGAGATTGAAAAAAGTCATACTTATTATCTCATTAACTGGACCTTTTTTTTTTTTCAAAAATTTGGATATTTTCTTTCATTGTGTCATTTTATCTAAAAAAATAGTTTTAAAATCCAATTTACGTTTGTATCTCAGAAATGTAAGTTAATATTTAAAAATCTAAATAAAAATCCTTTTCAAAAATATTTTTAAAATTTGCCCCTTTTTTTAATCTCAAATTTGTTGTTTTATGAGAAAAGCTTTTTTTAAATCTCAAATTTACTTTTTTCCCTCAAATTTGCCTTTTTTAATCTCAAATTTTAGTTTTTACATCTACCTACTTTGGAAACCAAATTTATAGTCCAACTTTTGATGACTGAACATTAAGAGATACCAAATAAAACTTTTTTTTTTTTTTTAGCATTTTTATTTCCGTCATGACCAACATTTTGTTTAGATTTTTTTTTACTTTTCCTGGCAAAAATGGGCCTCCATACAAGAGAACAGAAAGAGCAGCAAGTTCAGACCAACACACAAGAATTAAAACATAATTCAGTCTCCACTTTGAGCTTCACTTTGAATAAAACAAATTCTGAGGTCTGTGCATATACGACTGTATATGGTGGATACGCAAAGAAAGGAGGCCACTAATGATATGTAATTAAATGATAACCATTTTCCCTATATCTCCTAAAACCGTTACAGTTTCTAGTGAGGAGACGGCACAGACGGACACTGATTTTCCTTAAATGAACCGTTAAGCAGGTATAAAACTAAAGGCTCCTCACTTCATTTGATGCAGAATTACGTTTCCAGTTTTGATGTAGCATTGTAGTAAACTTCACAAGGAGAAAAAAAACAACAACAACAAAAAACACACCAGTCAGACATTCAGCCTCCTCTCAGCACTCACATCCGCTTCCAAAATACATTCTGTACAAAAAGCAACCCTGAGTCTCGTCAGTGGAACGACTGCTCCGTTTCTGGGACGCTTCACATTTCCTCTCATTAGCTGGTCCACCAGCCCGAACGCACCTGAAACAACACTGGTCCCCTTCTCCGACAAACCTACCCTCCCTCAGGTGGATGACTTTCACACATACACACACACGTGCGCGCACACACACAGCTGATCACTCTTATTTTTTTGCTCGTTCGTGGAATTGTGTTGGCATTTCTGTAGCTTGACATAAGTGGAATGGAAACCCTGAAAGATGAAAGTAAAAGGGCTGAGGAGTCGGGGAGGTGTTGGGCGTGACGGCTGACGCTGCAGCCAATGACAGTCTCTCCTCTTGGGGCAAACGCCCCCCCTAAGAGCACATAGGCCCCCACCGTCTCCCTTCGCTCACTCCTGCGGGACTGGCTGCGTCTTTAACGCTGGCTTCCTCCATTTTGTCCAATCAGGAATAGATAGTGATGACTTCACTTCCTCCACCTCTGACCAACAGGACACGCTCCAAACCTTCTGTTAGGACCTCGAGGAACTCCATGTCTGGTCAGCGAGTTAAGGAGTGTTTCTGTAGAGGTTCCTCTGTACTATGTGAGTGTGCTGTTGAGCTTTGTAACTGTGAATATGGTCAACAAGGAGCCGCTGAGGGCCGGGTTGTGCTCAAAGAGATGTAGTTCATACAGTGTCGTAAACAGGTACCCCAACAGAGGGGGACCAAAAATGGGGAGGGTACAGAACGGTTCCATTGGTACCATCTACAACTTTTCACAGTGGAAACGGAAAAAATGCGTACCAAACTAAACTGTAACTACAAATATAAAGTGTGAAGACAGCGTTTGGTTAAGTAAGTGAAAGAGTGCAACCCTCAGTGTTTAAGGATACAGTTCTCGTCTCCGTCCGTGTTCTTGGGTGGTCCCGGCATATTGAGCAGGACAAGCCGGGCATCGTGGGATTTGTTGACTATGACTTCGTTGAGCTTCACAGCGGTGTGCATGCGCCTGACATTGGAGTGGTCCCTGAAGGAAAACAAGATGCATTCAATGACCTCTTTCATGAACTACGATGCTATGAGAAATATTGTGACTTCCACTCACGGCCTGATGCTGAGCATGTCTCTGAAGCCCTCCGGTGTGGAGCAACCAGAGTGCGTGGCTCTGTACTGCGAGGTCTTTTCTTTGGTCCAGGTCATCTGAACTCTCCGATGATGCTCGGTGCTGCCGCTGGCGCTCGTCGCCCTTTCGCGCTCCCCACCGTCTGTGTCATCGTCATCGTCCGATCCGATGCTCGTCAGCCGCAGCATGGAGTTCCGGTCTTTCACCAGCTGGGCCTGGTTTAGCACAGACACAAACATGTTCGTTCTCAGCTCATCTCAACTTTCATTCAACCTTATTTGTGTCGTCCTGATCCTCAACCCCTTTGCTCTTCCTTCCCCAACTCCTGTCTGTCTCTCTCTCTGTCTTTCTCTTTGTACCTGTCTGTCTTTGTTTCCTTTGGAGGTGTTTGAGGTGCTGACTCCAGTACTCCAGTACCTGGGGGAAAGATACACCTACGGACAACACAAGGTCACCTAACTCACTAATACAGAAGACAGGCTGCGTCTACTCTAGCAGAAGCACTGGAGGATGACTACGGGGACAACAACATTAGTGTTCCTGAAAAGACCTGAGTCAAATGACAACTTAAACTCAGAAGGGAGTGATTAAAAGAGTAGAGGTGAGGTGAAATGAAAGGAGAGGCATTACTCTTTTTTCAAGTCGGCCAAGAGACACAAAGTTTGTTAAGTAACAAGAAGTACATTTGACCCAGATCTGCATTTATTAACTTCATTATTTGACGAATTCTTCATTGAATCCTTCAGATAAAGAATGTTATAAAGAACTGAAAATTTCAGATGAGATGAGTACTTCATTCTCATTTAGTTCGCCCCTTTTTCACCAAAGAGGTCACAGGTCAGGGTCAACTACAGTACAGCTGTCAAGCAGCAGAAAGTGTCTTTAAGCAAGACGCTGCTTAAAGACACTTCTCATTCACTATGGCGCTTCTTCTGAAGGATTCAGAGGTATTCACTGATCTAAAACCATGTGATCGAGGAAACTTCTTTGCTTTAAAGCCCAGTTCAGACCAAAAATTCATGATGAGATGAATCAGTGTCAGAACGTCGCAAAGAAAAAGTTGTGTGAACTGGTGCGTCTCAGTTCGACTCCAGTTGGCTGATGTTGTCACCGAGTGGCTGGTTTTAGAACGAAACGCAAGTCACCTGTTGTCAATAGCCCAACAGCTTGTGGCAAAGTCTCCTGGTCGAGTCAGTTACAAACTGTCAGCTGGGTGAAATGGCAGAGTTTTGGATGGAGGAAAGAGACGATCACATCATCAGTTTGTCTGAGGAACAGCCATGTCTGTATAAGGGATGGGCATTTTAAGTAACTTCTATTTGAGCACTCACATTAAAGCTTGCGTTAAATTATTATAGAGTATTCGAGTACTCAAAAAAAAAACCCAAAAAAAACAAAACTACGATGTACAACGGAAAACAAGTTGTAGAGTTTCCATTAATTCCACTTTCCACACTACAAACTCTTTATGCTGCCACACTTAACGTATTCAAAAAACTGTTTGCCTCCCCTGGCACACACCTGCTGCTCATCCCATGTACAAACAACAACACTGCATCTATTGACACAAAGTCACCACTGTTTAAACAAGAATCAAAACAAATACAAAGAGTGTTATTATGGCTCCAGGCTCTCAGGAGTCCTGAGCCGCTGTCCTCCTGGTCAGTTCAACGTCTGCCCATTTAGCATGAGCTAACACAGCAGCAGTGGCTAACATCCAGCACCGAGCCGTTTGACAGTCCCAACAAACTAACCGACATTGAAACAACTCGCCTCAGTAGGTAATGTTAGCCATATGATGTTAACAGTTAGCCCTGTCACTGTTTGTGTGTGTGTTTGTGAGCAGGCAGACTCTCATCAATTGTTCCCCAGTGTGGAGCTCATACTCCTGCAGTAGTCTCATGATAAACATGTGGGAGGTCGGACAGTGATTACGCTATACATTAAATGAATGCTGGCATACAAATAGAGTACTTGAGTGCTCATGCCCATCCCTAGTCTGTGTGACTAAAGCCTTAAACTTTACTCAGATAAGATCAACAAACTAACTGCTCAAGGGGCGGGGGTGGGGTTGAAGGCCTTATTCAGTCAACCTGGCACATGGAAGGTTGTTTAAGTAGTCCAGAAAGGGCTGCCACGCCTTGACTATCTATACTATATCTCAGCTCTTCTAGGTGAGCCGTCACCTCTCTGACCCAACAAGCATGTGAGGGTGGAGCCCTGTCCTTCCACTTCAGGAGAATTAGTCGGCGGGCCAGAAGCAGTTGAAAGTTTCGATTTAACTCATCCCGAATCTCTGGTCTGAACTGGGTTTAACAAAGTATCCGATGGTCACTACGTCTAAACTGCTCTATATCGTTAAATACAGCTGATGCTCTACTACCCAGTGAACTTACATCATCAAAACTCCAGCGCACCCGCTGAGGAGACCAGTGAGAAAAGGAGATGAACATGAGCTGGACTGAAGTTTCATGAAACAAAAATATCTATTTCTGCTACACTTGTGTGTAATACACCTGGAATTAATTGCTAAAAGCTAAATACCTTGCATTATCCAATTCCTGTATCAAATACAACCCTCTCTTCCTTTAATGTGTTTAAATAAATAAATAAATCTCAGAGGCATGTATAAATTCCAGTCCTTAAAATCAAGACTTTGCCCCTTTTAAGTCTCTCTAGCAACTGGTGTTATGTCGGAATCATGGGAGAAAATGAAAATGAGCAAATTAAGGGGGATTTATACTTGTGCAGCAGACCCTACGCCGTAGCCTACGCCGCTGCGAGCATTATACTTGTGCGGGGGTGGGGTTTCTGTGATGTGCTGTAAAGTTTAGTTGATTCAAAACTCACCCAAAACACACATTAAACACACATTAAACATGGCTTAATAGAGACAGTTTCAAACACAAGTACACAAATCAGCTTCACTATAACTCGCAGCATTAACAGACAAACATTTGTCTTTATCTGGACACATTTTCCCCACAAATACAACATGCTAACGTTTTTAGCACAAGCCTAAGGCATTTTACATTGTATAAATTAGCCTAGCAGCTAGCGGACTTTTCCTCTACTCATATGAAGCCAGGGACAACAGCAACATTTAACAAAGGTAACGGTACAAAATTCAGCTCCATTACAACTCACAAGGTTCACTGACAAAACAACTGTCTTTTACTTAACAGGTTTTCTAAATAAATACAACATGCTAACATTATTAGCACAAGCCTACAGCATCTTACATTGTATAAATTAGCCTAGTGACCAGCAGAGATTTCTTCTACTAATATGAAGGCGGCAGGTGCACATCAGGCTGCGGCGTAGGGTACGACGTGGATTCAACGCAGAAGAATAAATCCCTCATTAGTCATCATTACTCAACATTCATAATTTGCCCAAATCAGGACTTTTCGTAATTATTTTCTCATTGATTTTTTAAATTACATTTAACATATTATTTTAAGAATTTCCTCTGAGACAACAATAATGTTATAGGTTTCTGTATTAAGTCTTTTTCTTAACTATCTTACAAGATAGTGAGCTTCTGTTTTTAATCAACAGATAAAAAATTTAGAATAGTTTCTCTGTACAACTATCTTTAAACTGTATAAATAAAATCCTCTATGATTAATAACTCTTCAGTTTCATAAAACTCATGACCTCACAGCTAGTCGTATCCACTAACCTCACCTGAGACCTTGTAGCTCCACCTGCTTTTGGCCTACTGCTGCTGCTACCAGGACTTCCCTGATAAAATGATGCACGACAGTCACAGACAGAACAGACAAGCATGTCATGGCTTGTCTCGCATACAGCTGATGTTACTACGGCCCAAAGTTTTTAATCCACCGCCAGGAATAACAAACATGGAGTAAAGAAAGAAAGTTAAAAGTGATCTGGTGGGAACCATTCAGTGACCTCTTTTTTCATACACGACAAAATTAGTGTCTGTTTGCACTTGACCTGAGCTTACCTCTTTTTCCCGGTCTGATTTAGACAGTCGCATCTGTCTGAGCATCTGAGACCTCTGCTCCATCATCAGGGTCCTTTCATAGGTGTATGCACTGATGTCGCTGTCATGCTGCGAGGAGACGAGAGACATATTAAGACATACTGAGGGAAGAACATAATTATTCTTTAACAGTTAATGCAATAGCACCAGAACACATTTTGGTGAGCTTAAACATTTTTTGCAGATTTGTTACTGGGTTGTTGAAATTTTACAGCATGACACAAGGTTGGGTGGTGTATTGAAATGGATGCTGGAGGGGTCGTGGGAGTTTGCCCATCCAGTCTACATGTGTCTCTTGAGGGGTCTTGTGGGGGGTACTGCGGGAGTATGGGGTACACGTTCTCAGGTTCTCTCTCTCAGTTCTCTCTCACGTCTGGAAAGCGTTGCTGTAGAGAGGGACGTCTGGGGTGCTTTGCCCGGCCTACTGCCCCCACGACCCGGCCCTAGATAAGCGGATGAAGATGGATGGATGGATGGATGGATGGATGCATGGACAAATCAGCGTTCATAGTTTGCATTTGTTGCCAAGATACTGTCTCAGGTCACAAGAGGTGAAATCACAGGAGTCGAAGGAACACGTGTGAAGCTTTTAAATTGTTTCGTTCATCCCTACCTGCCTGACAACTAATGCTAGCAAACAGATGTCTGTGGGAATCACCCCGAAGCACCCGTATTTTTTGAGCATGTATTAAGACGAAAGCCTTTAAATAGGGCAGCCCTTTAATTATTTACTCTATGCACAAGTTGGGCTACAAATATGACGCTTCAATTAGGGTTTGGTCTTCTTGCACGTTGCAGGGGGAAGAAATTAAGTAAGAAAAGATAATTTTAATTTTATTTCCATGGAAAAGAGCGTGTTAATAATGTTCATTCATTCATTTTCTGTAATAGCTTATACTTTTAGAGGTCGCGGGGGTGCTGGAGCCTATCCCAGCTGACACTGGGTGAGAGGCAGGGTACACCCTGGACAAGTAACCAGACTATCACAGGGCTGACACATATAGACAGACAACCATTCACACTCACATTCACACCTACAGACAATTTAGAGTCACCAGTTAACCTGCATGTTTTTGGACTGTGGGAGGAAGCTGGAGTACCCTGAGAAAACCCATGCTGACAATGCTAACCACTGCACCACCATGCCGCCCATGAGTGTTAATAATATTTCCTTCAAAATTCAAATAAATGAAAAGGTCCTGATAAACCCCCAGCTTTGTGTGAAGCGTACCATCTCGACGACTTCCACCTCAGCCTCAATGCGCAGGTGATAAAGGAAGGTTGCCAGATCCTTTTTCATCTGGATGGAGTTATCCTCCATCTGGGCCACTGTGAAGATTCGCATGCCACACTTGCGCCACACCTGAGGAGGAGAGGATATTCAGATTAAGTGATGCAGCAATATTCTCGATGATGGACAGACAATTAAAAATGTATCAAAATGAAGAAAAACATTCTCCTACCTTGTGTTGGCGCAGCAGGAAGGGCAGCAGCATCAGCATCCCCCCATCATGGACAATCCACCAGACGTCAATGTAGCCCTCTGTGCAGGGCTCGCTGTTGCTGGGGAACAGAGAGATGTTTTTGGGGACCAGCAGGGCCAAGTGGGCTGCCGTGGTCACCCGCACTGTGTCTGGAAGGACGAGAGGGGGCGCTGTTAGCCTGCTAACTCTGAAACAAAATCTCACAGATCAGAAAGAGACACTAGAATTGGAAGGTTGAGAATAATTTTCCATCTTCTTGGACTCACTGATGAAGGTCTTCCAGGACTGTGGGTCCTCGCTCTGCCTCCAGGCATGAGGCCAGCCCATCACCACCGTGTTGGGCCTCATTCCTCCCAGGCCGCTGGACTGGATCATGTGGCTGATACCTTCGCGCGGCTTCTGAGCCACGATACACTGACAGAAGCCCTTCACGCGCTCCTTATCCATCAGATGCTTCAGAGTCTGCAACAGGAGAAATTCAGCTCATCTAAATATAACCACATCTACAGACTGACAAAGCTTCACATGAAACTCTTCCAAGTTTCAGTGACCTAAGATAGAACTTCCCACCTGTTCGGCAGCGAGGGCCTCGCCGTAGCTTTGTAGGAAGTTGCCGGAGACGACCGTGCCAACGATGGTCAGGCCCTTTCCCGCCTTCAGCTGGCTGGCAAACGTCAGCAGGCGAGGAGATTTGACATGGGCGTCCTCGTCCAGTTTGAGTAAGACCAACACCTGGGGCCTGGAGAAGAGTGGGCGAGAAGACGAGGGTTCGTTAATGGATGTGGATTTTTAGAATCAATAGCAGCAGGTTCTCCGACACAATCTATGACGGCATTATTGTACACACTTAGACAGCTCATATAATGTGAAAAATGACCATGATCAGCTGTGTAGTTCTTGTTGTTCTGTACCGTATACTCTAGGGCTGTAACGAAGACCCTTAATTACGCCGGCTTTGCTTTTTTACACAGAACTAATCATGCAGCCTCAGTGTGTGATGTCTGATAGCATGTCAGCGTTCTGGGAGCAAAAGAGATGTGACAGCTGTGACATGTAACACTACAGCCTTGGCTTCTTTGGTGACGTGTCATATACATGTCAGGCGGCGCCTTCTAAACAATAACAAAAACACTGACGTGGCAACAAAAATCATTCACTGCCCTGTTATACGATAGTTGATCTTGTCCTCTGCTGAGAGGGTAAGGAGCTCCTGGACCTCACTGTCTCAACCATTTTCAGACTTTTTCGGCCGCTGCTCTTCTGCTTTGCGTTAAAGATTGACCGAAATTGGATTGATAACGATAGTTTGGAACAAGAAAAAGCTGTTTGCCAATTAATCAGTTGATACTAATCCATTATCACAAAAAAAACATTTAAGAGTGTCGGAAATAAGCTGATCATCTAATTCAAAGTAATATCTTTCTAATAACTATATACATAGTTAGAGACAGTAGTGCAAGAATTTTTAACATATCACCCAACTCTAGCATATTCTTGATATTAGATGCTTGTTATCTTTAATGTTAAGCGCATTGGCACTGCAGTGTTAGTGAATGTGATGATGAGCTGTGAAAGAAGTGAGCTTCAGTACTCTACCTCCAGTTCTTGGTGTGCGGTGGTCCCTCTTCCAACCTCAGGAGGGCATATCGGGCAGCACTGAGCGAGAGACCGCGGATCCCATCCCCCCATTCTTTCTCTGCTCTGATACACACACACACACGGAGACATGTATGTACTGCATGCTATGTGCTGTGTTTGTTGAGCCCTCCCCTGACACACCCCCACAAAACACATGGATGACTCACACTGGCAACAGACATGCAGATACTTTTAAAACACACTCTTTTACACACACCACTCTTGACCATGCTGTACATGTACCATCATGTGGGGGGAAACACATCTCCATGGCAACATACCCGTGGTACTCTATGTACTTGTAGATCATGCCGGCGATCACCATGGCAACGATTGCGTAGTACCAGGAGGATATGAACATGAGCGCCAGGCAGATAGTCATCCCCAAAAACGACAAAGTCCTGGACACACCGGAGGGACAGATCAGTGTGTGTTTTTATCTGTGTACTTATGTGTGCAAGTGTGTGTGTGTGTGTGTGTGTGTGAGTGTGTGGTAGTACCAGTGGTAATAGGAAAAACGCGGCCTCCAGTTGGGCGTCCTCAGGAGGGTCTGGAGACCACAGGCCAGGTTCACAAACAGATAGCACATCAGGAAGAACCTAAAGACAGAAAGTAAATTAAAACCGAAGCCTCAGAAGGGGAAAGATACAAGTTCTGATAACACACACACACACACACACACACACACACACACAGCCTCACATTGTAAGGATGGGAGCCACCAGGTCCAGGGAGGCAATGAGAATCCCCAGCTCAGCTATCAGGGAGGTCAGCAGCAGGGCCCAGGTGGGCTCCCCATTAGCCTTCCCATGGCCAAACACCTGGCAGAAACACACAAAGGGAAAACAGTGAAAACATATACAGGTGCACCAAAAAAAAAAAAAAAAAAAAATCAGACTGAAAATACTTCAACAGCTACAGAAAATAAATTCACCTTTATGTTACATTACATGGAAGGTTATCCATTTAAGATCACTGTCACAGTTTCATCACACACACAAAAAAATCTATGACTTTTCCAAAACTTTAAGGGATTTTCCTACTTCCATGCTTTCCCAGGCCTGAAAAACAAGATTGTGAATTCCATGACTTTTCCAGGTTTTTCATAACCATGGGAACCCTGTTTAAAGGCAATGCAGCAAACATTTTCTCCTAAAATTCACTGGCTAACTGTCTTATCCCCACAAACTCTGCAGGGCAAAAAGTGTTCAGCAGAAAGTCCATGGATTGTTGTACTTGTTATCATACAGGAACTGAAGGGAGACAAAGCTCTGATCACAAATAAACAAAAAAACAAACTGAGCTCCATTACTTAAACATACAGAAAATATCTCTAATTTCAATAAATTGCACTGATACTACCAGAATAAATGGATCATACTTAGGGGTGTGTCATCTCGTTCAGGATTATCCGGTATAAGTTTTACTATCATATGAAAAATTCATATCATGATACTCATTACATGACATACTGTTACCCACGGCAACAACAAGCATGGCTGAAAGCGAAATTATTGGAAGTGTGGAATAAACTGTGGCGTCCTGAATGTTGTATGAACAGCCCCGGACTTCTCAGACTGTTTTAGTGAGTTACCACTCAGAGGGAACTCATTCAGCGGCTCCTCTGGCAGCATGTACACAGGAGTCTGTGTCAAGTGATTTTGCCATAAATCGTTAATGTAAACCTATGTGATGCTCAAAGCTCAACACAAATCTCCATATATGTGAATGTGCCATAGTTGTGATATCATAACAGCCTGTCACAGGTTACAGTGTGATGATTAGAGGAGAAATAGCAGAGCATAAAGGTCCAGGTGGGAAAAACAACAACTCAATCATTTAGGATTTTACTAAAAGAAGGAAATCACCTGTTGATTTATATATATAGATACCAGAGGACATTTTTTGTGTCTGGGAGCTGCCAATCTTTCTTAGTTAAGAGTACTTATGATGTCACATGGTTAAAGCACACATAATTAATCTAGCTGTGGGTTGTCGCCTCACCTAAGGACAGTTTGTAACTATTATGTCAATTTTGGGTCCCTGTAATTAAAGGGATAGCTCAGATTTTTTTGAGAAAAAGGAAAATCAACATCAGTTTAAAGGTACAGTGTATTTAGAGTAATTTCACCACTTTACCTTGCCATGATTGAAGAGCTTTTTCCAGCTCTGCTCTGAGGAAATGAGGCAGAAACTCTCGATCTGCTCTAAACTCAGACTTCAACATCCCACAGCGGCAGACTGCCTTCAACAATCTGCTTTTTCATGTACGGTTATAAAACATTGAAATATGCTTCGAGTCGTGCTTTAACACTCGCATAGACTTTCACTCTCTTTCCCACAGTGCAGAGAAAAGGATATTGAGCAACCATTCATGTCCACATTAATCTGATTCATGTATTTAATTGTAATGTGTACCTTTTAGCTGTACTGGATGAATGTGCTGGTGTTTAATGTTGAATGAATGAAACTGGGGATGTGCCGTCTACTGTAAGTAATACACTGACTATAGTTAAGTAACTCACACAACCCCACTTCAAAAACTCCGAACTACCCCTTTAAAAATAATATTTGCAGCTCTAACCCGAAGGAAGGGGATGATGTTGTCCTTGGCGATGGCTTGCAGGAGTCGGGGAGCGCCTGTTAGCGACTGGAGGCCTGCGCCACATGTTGAGAAGAAAGAGCCAATCACAATGACCCAAGGGGTCGGCCACGCCAGAGTCCCCACCACCAGGTTCCCTTTAACTGAGTCTCCAAACCTGCAGGAGGCAATAGTACATACAGGTATTTAGAGCAAACACCTTACACGTAACAGGACATAAGACAGATATATATATGGTCAAATAAAAGAGCAGATGTACTGACTTGTCTCTGAGGACCACCCCGTCGATGCAGGCTCCGAACAAGATAACGCTAGTCAGATCTGAACGGACAGCACTCAGGAACACAACACTCAGCAGTCAAAGCTAAGCAGATCAAAAGCATCCTAAGTGCCTTTTAGACATAACAGAACCAATAAGCAATTAATATAGCTAAAGTGACGAGCTGTACAAATGAAATACATAACTCCTCACCAGCATAAACAGTATGACACACTGTTTCCATTATAACACAGAGAAAAGCATTCTAGCATTTCTTTAGCAGGTCATTTTCAAATCTATATTCTCTGGAAAGCTGTTGTGCTGTGTTGTGATTGTAAACCAACTGAGGCAAAAATGTGTGAACGGTGCATTAAGTTGTTTTTGAATTAGGAGTGCCTGAAAACTGATTCATAATATAGCATGAAAGGATACAGACGATGGAGGTGGTGAGGATGGCGAGAATGGTGCCGATGGGGATGGAGCGCTGGGCATCTTTCAGATCCCCCGACCGGTTGGAACCAGCCATGATTCCTGGGGACAAAAAAAAAAATCATTTTAAGGAATGGGACTGTTAACAGAAGGATTACTGGTGGTATTACTTAGTGGTGTTTTATTACCTGTGCCAAGGAGGTTAGGTTTTCAGTTCGGTTAGTTTGTTTTGTTTGTTGTTAAGCTAATTTATACAATGTAAAATGCCATAGGCTTGTGCTAATAACGTTAGCATGTTGTATTTGTTTGGAAAACGTGTTTAGTATAAGACAGTTGTTTTGTCAGTGAACCCTGTGAGCTGTAATGGTGCCGAATTTTGTACCGTTACCTTTGTTAAATGTTGCTGTTGTCCCTGGCTTCATATGAGTAGAGGAAGAGTCCGCTAGCTGCTAGGCTAATTTATACAACGTAAAATGCCATAGGCTTGTGCTAATAACGTTAGCATGTTGTATTTGTGGGGAAAATGTGTCCAGATAAAGACAAGTGCTTTGTCTGTGAATGCTGCGAGTTATAGTGAAGCTGATTTGTGTACTTGTGTTTGAAATTGTCTCCATTAAGCCATGTTTAATGTGTGTTTAATGTGTGTTTTGAATCAACTACACTTTACAGCACATCACAGAAACCCCGCCGACTCACGTTTTTCGAGATGTAACTGCAGAGTGACACAGACACACCACCGCACACAAAAAAGATATACTGTTGCATTTTAGTTTTGGTTCGGTTCCTGTTCACATTGAGTTCTACTGACTGACAATTAACTCTTCGATTGGGCAGCTTTGATGTTTGTCATCCTGCATCCTCGTGGACCCACGTGGGGAAATCAAATTCTGGTGACTGACAAAAGTTTATGCAGCAGCACTTTAATGCTTCTAAAGTGTTTATATTAATGTTCTTTAGTTTTACAAAGGCTATTATTAAAGTGCAAATCAATCACGTTGACTACTGACTAACATAGAGACAGGATGAAAAGAAGGTGTCTTATATAGTAACGACTCGGGACTTAATACTGTGGGATCACTGTCACACACTTTTTGATGAACTTACTAAACAGACACAGTAAACAGAGTCGGATACAATCATGACAGTTTGTATGCATTAGCATAAATAGATTATGGGATATACACGGCCTTTATCAGGATCAATGATGAGATCATGGACAGATTTCATAATGAGCAGATGGATTTATTATTGGTTTAGATGCTATCTTAAAATCCAGTGGCTGGTTAGTATTCTTTCACACCACGAACCACACCAGAGTCTGTTTGGAAGCAGACCGAAATCCACCTTTTTGAGCGGTCTGTGGTCTGTGAAAATATTTGTTTCATATAAGAGAATCCATCTGTTCTGAACTGTTTATAAGATCAAAATAAAACATGAAAATCAATTGAATAGGGCAGAGCTGAGTATTATTGAATGAAGCGAGTAAAAAGGAATCCAAGAATAGACGCCTGACGGAAGAAGAGTCATGACAAACACATGATGTTCTTGATCCTGGAACAGCGAGAATCAATATCACACCTACTGTGCTCTTCCTGCCAATAAAGCATTTTCATAACATAACAGTGGCAACATTATGTTTACATTTCCTTCATGTTTCTATGTCTAAATTATCCTTAAATGGATAGGTTCGATTTTTTGAAGTGGGTCTGTATGAGTGTATTACCTTTAATAGATCAATATCAGTTTGTAAGCTATATTTAGAATATTTTCATCACTTTACCTTGGTGTCAGACACCCCCTTTCTGACGGGAACTGAAGCCGAAGTTGTCTACACTCTGTTCAAAGCCACCAGACTACTGGAACTAAAACAGTAATTTTACGTCACAGAAGACAGGAGAGACTGGACTATAACTGCCTCCATCTTTGGTCTGTGTGTTAGTCACAGCCACACATGGTAATGTTCTCCTACTCAACACTCTTTAAACTCATTAGTTTGTTATCTATACGGGTTACTTTCATTTATGGTCAACCTTACCCAAACAATTCAGAGTTACCGTCGTTGTTTGGGGAGCTCCCTTCCTGGTGGAGCAAAAGGCGTACCTGAGGGCTGAGGACTCTTAATTCCCGGAGCCTACACATTGGATCAAACCATGTGCTGCCACGTCATGGGGGGGATTTGGGTTTAGTTAGTTTTGCTTTGTATTTAGTTGTAGTTGCCATCTATTTTGGTTGCCCCTTGTGTATTATTGGTTTGGCCACACTACTATATATATATATGCTCTCTCGTGTGTCTTTTTGACGGGTCAGTTTGTCAAGTTAACACCTTGTGTAGTTATTGTATTGAGTATAGTGATGTTATGTTGACCTCTCCTATAGGCCCAATCGTTCATTTCTTGGTTTGTAATTTTTCATGATTTTTTTGGAGTAAATAAAAACCCACAATTGTGTCAACAACTGCTTGGTGCCTGTTTGTGTTATAGTATGAATGTGGTCTTTTACAGGTTGGTCTGGATTCACAAGTTACACAATAACACGAACAAAGAAACCTATCCATCCCAGTTTGTTTAGCACACGAGGAAGGGCAAGAAAAAGCTGTACCTGTGACAGAGGGGAAGAAGATGCCCACCAGCAGTGTGAAGGAGGTGGTGATGTCAGCAAACACGTAAGGCCGCTGAGTGGTGGCCGGATGTGCATCATGAGAGGAGCTGAGGGAGCTTTTCTCCACCACGTCCCCTTTGCTGGGGTACGAGCTCCACAGGTTCTCTGTGGGTGAGAAATTAAGTACATGCTTGTTAATTATTCTGTCGTCCCCATGAGCAGAATTCAACAGTAACCATTCACTGATAGACTCCACAACAAACATGGATTGCATGGCAGACATTACATTACATTTCATTCAGCTGACGCTTTTATCCAAAGCACTCACAGTAAGTGCACATGGATACAACCCTAAAAAGTTTCATCAAAAATCGTGATCTACTGCAACTGCTACATTTAGAAACAACAGAAGATAGATCGAAGGTTTACTTCTTTATTCAAGGTGTGTGTATATGACAACAGAGGGGAAAAATTTAATTTCCCCTCTGGGATTGATAAAGTATTTCTTCTTCTTCCTCTTTGTCTTAGTCTTCTTCTATTACCCAGAGGAGCTGTATGTGAGAATGCAAATGTCCAGACCGGACAATGAAGGGAGTTTACCCTGCCACCTTTCTAGTACAAAATCTGTGAATTGAACCAATGTGTGAAAAGAGCAGGTTATTGTCCGTAGAATTCACAGTGGGCATGTTGATGACGTTTCTATCACGTGACTGGTGCGAAACTGGAAGAATACGAGCACCCCATGGTGAGGAAGAGGGGTTATTTACACAAAAACGCCAACGAAAATGTCAAAAATGACAGATGACGAACTTCAGGAACCTTCTGGTTTTTAAACTCCCGTTTTGAGGCTTTGAGTTCGGCATTTTCGCAGACGCAATCTTCATTTTCTGGAGCCAGAAGTGACCATATTTGGATGAGATCATGGTGCTGTGTAGGTGCTAGCGTTGGATCTGACTGAGATTCCAAGGTGATGCCTGACAGATAGCCTGTCAGTCAAAGCAACCATGCCCTTAAATATGAGTTTATGCCTTAATAAAATGTAAACGGGTGAGTTATATAAAAATTCACGCCCTGTACAGTTATCAGGAATGTTGAAATTAGTTACAGTTAGGCTGTAAACATGTTTAATTCTGCTGTAAAGTTGGGCATTTTAACACGGGGGTCTATGGGGATTGACTCACTTTTGGAGTCAGCCCCAAGTGGTCATTAAGGGAACTGCAGTTTTTGGCACTTCCACGTTGGCTTCATTTTCCAGCCCTGGACGTTGCTGTTTGCTTACGCAGCGTACTTTTTGCAGCATTTCCTGCCTCCTGCATGCTCTATCTAGTCGTCACCCCTTGCTTAAACCAGCAGACTACTCCCAGAAGGTGAGAACTCGTCTGAATCAGACAGTCTACTGCCGTGTGCTACATGTGTGTAAAGGCAATGTGCGTATTGTCACAAACTCACACACTTTACCTGAAATGATCCCACTAGCCATTCCGGGGATCCCTTCGATCTCGGTAAAATTGTTGGAGTTGAAGTAATCGTCACAGGTAGCGTTGAGTTCAGGGCCCTGGCAAAAATGCTTCCAGAGATATGTGGTCTTCTCCACCAGATCAGGAGCAGGGCTGGGGTCAAAGGTCGGACCCACAGTCGGACCCACAGTGCTGTTTTCTAATGGGAGGAACACAGAATGTCAAAAAAAAGCTGAACAGGTTTGTTTGACTTAGATAGGAACAAATATCAGTCTCATCCTGGTACCCACCACTAACAGTTGTGAAGTTCTCGTCAGCTCTCTCCACTGGCTCTTTGATCTGCAGCAGGACGGTTTTCGCACACTGGTTGTCATCAATTTCATGGCCGCTGATCGTTCTGTTTCCCAGCATGCACACACTGCAGATAGAAGCCATTCAGTCAGTCAAAACCATGACAGTTAAAAGGATCGGGAGGTGTTGCATCTCAAATCAACACTTACGGGAAATGTGGCGGTTTGAAGGCGGAGACCAGCGCTCCGACGTAGATGGAGATGATGGAGACGATGACGCAGGCCAAGAAGATGGAGGCCAGTTTGTTGACGTACTTCACGCCCACAAAGACCAGCAGGGACATCAGGAGGAGACAGATGGAGCCGTAGACCCGCATGTTGTTCAACATGGCTGCGCCTTCGCCTTCAGGGTGCTTGGACTCGAAAATGGCTGCCTTAGGTGCTATGTACATCTGGAGGAGGGCGGGAGAGGAGAGGTGAACAATGTGAAGATTTTTATTGTGTAATCCCATCTTTTATTCATACCATAAACACTTTCTAAACTGTCTAAACAGCAGCGTCTTATAACATTTATTACTCATCTATTTATGTGTCTACAGGTTACTGTATGTTAAGGCAAGGTGTTTGAACAAATTGTCCCTGGTGGGATAAATAAAGTTGTCTGAATATGAATCTAAGCTCTAAGCATTATAATGGAGATGTGCTGATATACTGTCAGTACTTTAAGCAACTATCTCTAATAGCGTCGTTGGCGTGATTATCACTGTTTCTTGTTGGCGCTGTAAACACAGCTCAGCTCTTAAGCTTTATCAGCAGTCATGTTGATATAACAGGGAATGCAGTTTTACCAGTCAAACAATGACACAGCAGTCACCAGAGGATGTTTTTCAGAGGCCTTATGATGTAACGTGGTCCATCACTATTGTAACATTCTGACTCAAAAAATAGCACATACACCAAAAAACTAAATACACCACATGTGACGTTTCAGGCACCAGCCTTTCATCAGACATTCACATTCAGTCCTTCATATGTCTCATGAAGGGCGGGTGCCTGAAACGTCACATGTGGTGGTACGATTACAATTTCCAGAAGGAGCAGTTTCTGGTGTGCGGATCTGCTTTTGTATTTTTCTTTCACAGCTATTAACACCCAAAGGGAAATTAGAACATGCATAAAAACATAAAGAATCTGAGAGAAACAAACATTTCCTGGCAGCTGTCTTAAACTTCAAATAACCAAACTACTTTTGTTTACGGTGTTTTTAGTATATTTGATGTTACTTCATTTGAGTCCCACAGAGTTGCATAACACACTTCCCTGTCCAGTTGGGTAGGTTTGTATAACTCCAAGGCAACTACTGCATGAAGCAAGCTCATCCTATTTTAGCACTAGTGGTCGGGCCCACCGACATTGTAGGGGTCAAAGGGTACAGATGACCCCAGCCAAAGGCCAAGGGGGGCCCACAGAAAGGTCTATGGTTGACCCTTAAATGGGATCAAGTACAACATTTTACTTACTGACTCAAATCACTGACAGTACAAGCTATATGTAGTGATGGCCAAATGAAGCCTCATGAACCACTTTCTTTATTTTCTGACCCCAAATGATGGCGGTCTTTGTTTAAAGATAAAGGCTGAAGGACTGGCAATGAAGTGTGCTTTCAAGTCTTTGTTGAACACACAGCGCCATCTAGTGGCTTCAGAAAATAAGGACAGTGGTTCATGAGGCTTCATTTGGCCATCACTAGCTATATGTATTTTAATGCGCCATCTGATACTCCCACCCTTTTTTAAATATGTCTAGGGTCCCTATACAGTCTTGAAATTGCATAAATTGGATATGACTGAAAAACTGAGACTTGATAGCCATATACTCTTTACACATTTCAGTTCTGCACATAAACTGACCAATATTTAATCAAAGTAGCCTCAAGATTGAATGAGTAAGTGAAGAAAAAATGTGTGTTCACTCCTGATTTGATCTTTTGATTTCATACCATGCAGTGATGTATAGGGATCCCCCCAGTTGGGTGTGGATGAGGGGCCCACTTTTGAAAATGTTGTCCCCCTGCCCATATTTAACGGCTGGCCTGCTAGTGGTAGTATTTCAGGACATCAGGACCATCATATTTTTTGCCTCATTAATCGTAGCATGAAAACTTGAAATCAGAACATCCCTATATCCGATATTGATATCACAATGTAATTAAATTAAATTTACTGTTATAAAAAAATGTATCCATACTCCCAACATTAAGCTAAATGGTGATGACACACTGACATTAAGTTTTTAAATAAGAAAAAACACTTTCATGACTACAACAAAACCACAGTGGAAACATTGGAAGCTCTCTTTAGTCCTAAATTATCACTGCTACATAAAAATGTAATTACAGTTGAATCCTAGCGAAAGTGATGTAGATGAATGATTATGATGATGATGAAGTCAAAACCCACCAGAAGGATCTCGATGGCTCCCAGGATGTACATGGCTCCGGCGAAGGTGGTGCCCAAGTAGAAACACAGGCCCACCGCCCCCCCAAACTCCGGACCCAGAGAGCGACTGATCATGAAGTAGGCGCCTCCCGCTGGAGGGGGAGGAGAGAAGAGGAAGAGAGGAGGAGAGGAGGAGAGACAGAGAGAGTGGGGCAGGTTGTACATCAGGGTTGAGAGAAGTGGAAATGGACAGAGTGAAGAAAAGCAGGGTGGTGAAAGAATCAGAAATGGGAAAATTAAAGATAGAAGAGAAAAGAAGAGAAGGAAGGAGAGAGAAAGAGAGAGAGAGAGATGGTGGGCAGGAAGAGGAGATGGGACATAAAAAAAGAGGGAGAGAGAGGGATGGATGTTAGTAACATTATGATGTTAGGAGGTGAAGAGAGAGAAAAGAGGACAGCTCATGAGAGAAGTCATCCTATGCTTGAAGGAATAAGCATAATGTTCTACATGACACATTGGAGTCAGAAGAAGACAGAGCAGTTCTTTGGTCAAATGGTATCTGCAAGTGACTCTTTACAACTGTTTTTTGCCTCACTCTGAGTACAAGTACGACATCTGAAGTAACATCTTGGTTGTTTTTGGGGCTGGGTGTCACAAATCAGTACCTTTGGTTCAATCCAAAATGAAATGATATTGAAAACTGACTGGCGCCAACTGACCGATCAGACTGATAGTTCTGTTTACTTGTTCTCCCATCTGGAGATATTTTGTGCTTTCAATTATGTGTTTTTGGACGTTTGAATCTGGGGCGCCATAAGCCTCCATTAGGTGGAGTTGTGTTGCTACCCCCTCTCCCCTTGGATCTCCGTAAGGGATGTGAGGACTCTAAAACTTCACCTGAGCCTCCCTCGGCATATGGGTGAGTAGATAATGGCTGAATTTTCATTTTTGGGTGCATTATCCCTTTAAGAGGCTCTTACACTCTGCTCCGATTCATCAATTGTTTCCCTAACTGGGGAGAGCAGGGACCAATGAGCAAACACCAGACTTATTTGAGAGCATTTTTTTTAAACATTAAAAAATAGTTATTGATTTGGTTTTATATTTAAGTCTTTTTATTTTTACTAATTTGATAATTTTTAATATTACTGGTCTTTGTTTTACTTTCTACGGTCTTTTTATCATCTAATTTTATTGCCCTTGTTTTTATGTGTTGCATGTTTATATTATTGTAGAGCACTTTGACATCTTTTGTATGACAAGTGCTTTTTACTTAATATTGTTTTACTTTTGGTGTCAGAATCAGGTATCATACTGGCACCACTATAGACAACTAACTAAAACCCAGCCCCAATTTGCATTCTGAACTTCCTGGTGCACACGGCACTGCGTTGTGTTACTGGTACCTCAAGTGAGCTCAAAAAACATCAGTAATCAAATTTTGCTGATACAATTTGAACCAGTTATAAAAACAGAGCACATGGGAGAATCATACAAGGAAGAGAAGCTACAAATTCACTACTGATTGTGAGCTCAGAGTTCAGTGTTTGGTTTCCAAAATGCAAGCAAACCAGAAAAAAACACAGCACTCACTTATTTTCTGTACAGTGGATTAACACATAAAAGTAATGTTAACAAAAAAGTGGGCATGTGAATGTGAATGAATGAACGCCCCCCCACCCTCACTGTCACTGAGAGGTAGCTTCAGTGTACCTGGGTCTGATGCCTGTTGGGTTAACTGTTGTTTTGTATTTATATGAAACAGCTGATACAATGAGACAATTGAGACAATTTTTTTTCCTAATAATAAAGTGCAATCTTAATCAAGGCACCCAAACTACAAAAACTGTCTCTGCAGTCGCCTCACTGAACACGAAAAATTCAAGTGACGCTGCCCCTGGTTAATGATTTTTAGTGCCGAGCCGTATTTGGGAAGCCAAACACCTCTGACTCCTCCTCCTCATTAACCACAGTAACCTACATACATACAGTAACTACCATCTGAGACTAGATGGTGAGAAAGCATGAGAAGCTGTTCAGATGAGGAAACAAAAAAAGGCAGCATGGAATGAGATGTCTGATGCCAAACAAGACACGTTAGATTAATTCTCTATGTTACCAAAGGGGTTTCATTCTACATTCAATTATCGAAATGTCACATGCTAGTGGAAATATCACACTACTTTGACATTTGGGATATTCGTCTGGAGGCGTTCCAGTGAGAAGTAAAGTCAATGGCAGATAAATATCCTAGGTTTTTAAATGTGTATACAGACAGACAGGGAAGAGGTGGACAGAGGGAGAGACAGGACAAACAGAAATAGCACTCATTAGAAAATACATGTACTGCCAAAGCTGGAAGAGGAGGGGAGGGGAGACAACCTGGAAAATGCTTATGAACATCTACAGAGGTCACATGGCTGAGTCAACTCAAAATGGTTGCCATAAAAATTAAAATAAGATTCAAATAGCTGTGTGAGAGTCAGATTAAGAGATTACCACAGCACACCAGTGCTATTTAATCCATGTGGAGGGAAAGCATGGAAGGTGAGAGAATACCTGGTACAACTCCATTAGTGGCGATTGCACTCATCGATATTGCCGTCAACAAAGTCTGCAGAGAGACAGGAAGACAGACAGGTTCTTAGTAAATTTAGAGTGGTTTAATTTGTGTCGCATCATACCCATCTGCTAACAAAGCTGGACACCGAGATACTCACACAGCAGCAGCATATGAAGACAATACAGAGGCCCTGCAGCACCCCAGCAGTTCCCACCACCCAGGTCAACCTCAGGAACAAGATGACGCCAAAGATGTTCTGCAGGCAGGGCAGGTAGACTCCCATAAACGTCCCCATCTGTGGCGACTGGAGGGCGGACACAACAGAGAGATGGTAGGAAAATCAAGTTCAATTATCTTTGCCAACAAGAAACAAACATCGGACATAATTCTAAAGCTTTTAAAAATGCAGGTGGACAATCTCCTTTTCTTTGTCATTTTCTTCCAAGTAAACAGTAGTGGTTTCCAACCTTTCCTGTTTGAACCCCACGCACCCTTTCATGTCTAGTATAAAAGTATACATTTTAGGAACTTTCAGCTTTTTAGCTAACTAATTCAACTGTTTGGAAATTACAGCTGGTTAACCTTTTCAGCTGTTTAGAAATTACTGCAACTTACTACTAAGTAAATTACTACTTAAACTTTTAGAAATTACTGCAAGTTAAATATTTCAGTTGTTTAGAAATTACTACTGGCTAATTATTTCTTTTCTATTTTTTAGAAATTGCTGCAAGTTGATTATTTCAAGCGTTTATAAATAACTTTACTGCTTTGAAATTACTGCAAGTTAAATATTTCAATTGTTTAGAAATTACTACTGGCTAACTATTTCTTTTCTTATTTTTAGAAATTGCTGCAAGTTAATTATTTCAAGTGTTTAGAAATAACTTAAATTGTTAGAAACTGCCTCAAGTTAACTATTTCAGCTGTTTAGAAATTACTGCTAGCTAATTATTCAAATTTTTAGAAATTGCTGCAAGCTAAATATTTCAATTGTTTAGAAATTACTACTGGCTAACTATTTCTTTTCTTTTTTTTAGAAATTGCTACAAGTTAATTATTTCAAGTGTTTATAAATAACTTAAATTTTTAGAAACTGCTGCAAGTTAACTATTTCAGCTGTTTAGAAATTACTGCTAGCTAATGATTTAAATTTTTAAAAATTGCTGCAAGTTAACTATTTCACGTGTTTAATTAACACCAAGTTATCGATTTCAAATGTTTACAAATTACTGTTAACTATTTCAATTTTTTTAGAAATTACTGCCAACTAATAATTTCAGTTGTTTAAAAATCAAGTTAACTGTTTCAACTGTTTTGAAATTATTGCAAGCTAATTGTTTCAATTGTTTAGAAATGAATGCTAACTAATTATTTCGACTTTTAAAAAATGACTGCTAGCTAATAATTTCAACTGTTTCGAAATTATTGCAAGTAGTTCATTATTTCCACTGGTTGCAAATTACTTGTAGTAACTATTTCTACTGTTTAGAAATAACTACAAGCTAATTATCTAAGTCGTAAATTAATGCTTATTAATTATTTCAACTGTTTAAAAATAAAGTGCTGGCTAATAATTTCAGTTGTTTAGAAATTAACAGCAAGTTAACCATTTCAACCGTATTACAAGTCCTTTACTGTTTAAACTGTATAGAAATTGCTGCTAATTAACTGTTTCAACTGTTTCCAAATTATTGCTAGCTAATTATGTCACTGTTTTGAAATTACTGCCAGTTAATTATAGTTAACTAATAGCATAAGTTGTTTATAAATTAAGTTCAAGTTAACCATTTCAAACATGTACAAATTATTGATAGTAGTTAACTATTTCAACTGTTAAGAACTTACTTCTACCATGTATCCAATATTTTTTGCAAAATATTTAAACTTCTTCACTTGCCTTTTAACTTAATTTCACACACTGTCATACTGCACATGATTTATGGTGTTATAAGTAACTCTCATGTTGGTGGGAGGCGTGTATTGTGCTGTCAGTTTGCTGGTTATTACAACAATACATTAACTGAAGATCCTACTTGTATTCCTCCCTGGTTTCTGTTTTATTTCTTGTCACAAAAATGTGAAAATCTCTTTTAATTTAATTTTCATTTGTGCTGAGCCACTTTACAATCTTTCTACAACCCCTCTGGTGACTGCAGAAGTATCCCCCGGAGTACACACACCCTTTGTTGGGAATTACTGCACTACACCACCCTGATGCACCAGCCTTATGTTAATACTTAAAACTGAACATGAAGTGTAGCCAGGAGGGAAGATTTAAAATGTTTTGGTGTAACTTTGGCAGGCGCTTGTTGCCAAATCTGCCGCCAAATCAGAACAGGGTGGAAACAGGAAATTACTCTGAACCACCACAACAGACTGTCTTATCTGGGCCAGCCAGCAAGGACTGAAGTTCAGACTGGGGTCACTGCTTACTGTACTTTCACTTTCAGACGCTCAATGACCACATGTTAAAGGGATAGATAATAAACTTTATTTGTACAGTCATCTCAAAAGATGATGAATTGTACCTATAATCATAATCTTGATTACGAGTGCTGTGATAGATTGTACTAGGCAAAGTCCTACAGTACACACAAACAGAAAATAACTCCATAGCTTTGTGCAGGTGGCGCATTACTACACTGAGATTTTCTGAATTTTCTACTAAAGTATTTAATTGCACAGAAAGAGAGCTCATAAAATATCGGTGTCAGGACAGTTGCATGTGTCAATATGAAATCTTGGGGATTGAATCAGCAAAGACTCCTATGAAAGACACTGTCGATGTTACATTTTTGGACTGGGTGTTTTACTGCAAAATGAAATCCCCTTAAGGGTTTAAACAAGGTGAGTTTGGCACAGTCTGGTATACCTTGCCAGGTTTCTTCTTCTCGCCGATGCTTTCAGCCTCTTCATGTTCCTTGGCCCCCTGCGTCAGGTTGGTGTAGTTGGCCAGGCGATTAAGCAGAGAGGACACCTTCGGCCGAGTGTCCATCTCCTCCTGAGGTAGGGAAAAAAACAGAGGGGAGACATAGGGTGGACAGAGATAAAGAACAGAGGTGGACAGTGAGCGAAGGAGAGCAGATAAGAGTGGAGGAATGAGATAGCCGGGGGGGGGGGATATAGAAGAAGGGGAACGAGAAGGGAACAGACAGACAAAAGAGAGGGATATAAAGAGTAAGAGCAGGGACAGGGTATAGAAATAGCAGGCAAGCAAGGAGGGAATAAACGTAAGTGGGTGAAGAAGAAGAAAGGTGGGATGACAAGCACGGGGAGAGGCGGCAGATAAGAGGTAAAAGAGCGGGAGATAAAGAGGCATATTGAATGGCTCGTTAAAGAAGTGGGAGACAGAAGACAGAGCCGTTTCTAGGGAACTTCAACATCTATAAAAATCGAAATTATCCGCACCCACCAGCCAAATGCTGGTTTATTTTTGTCTCTGGCTTAGCAGACACATTGGCAAACAAACAGCCATCATTTATAGGCTCTGTTTTTACCCATGTGCAGTTAAACAAAACAAGAAAAGTGAGTATTTTAAGGGGAGCAGCAAATATGGCCCGATTATGGTTTTCTCTCTTCAACACAAATCAGCATTCTCAGCACGTTATTAACATGATTATGATGCTTTCATAGGATAACAGTTGTGTAAATTATGTGTTTCGAACCTCAAATAAGGCCAAGTTTCTGTCGTAGAAGTCATCGTCGTCCACCCCGTGAGTGTTGTTGATGTACACACTGGAGATTTTGGAATTTCCGTCACCTAGACACAAAGAAAGAGATTATTAGAGGGAATGTGGTATTTGACTATCTTTAAAGGACAGGTTTAGAATTTTTCTGACGTTTAGGGTGCTTTCAGGCCTAGAGTTTGCTTGCATTGGTCTAAATCAGGAACCAATTTTGTTCAGTCAGTCAAACCGATCAGAGCTGATCAGGGCAGATCGCTGTATAAGAGGAGCAGTTGCTGCAGAGGTGAGTGAAAGCTAACTTTTAGACCCAGTTCAATGAACAGTTAAGGGTGCTTTCAGACCTAGAGTTGTCTTGCTTCGGTCTGAATCAGGGACTAATTTTGTTACAAAGTTGTATAATTGCCTAGAGTTGGTTCGTGTTCTCACGGCAGCATTTACAAGCCGACCAGATCAAATGCCTTGCCCGAGAAAGCTGCTCTTGATTGGTCAGAATTTCCATGTGGGAAAAATCCAGGAAGTAAACAAAACGTTGAAGAAGAGTACACTTGCAAGATAAATGTGACACTTTCTAATGTCACAATGGAGGGACAACTACGCAGGTTGATTTTAGTGCTGCTCATCGTGGACTATATTGCTGTCATTGTGCATTTTAGGCAAACCATGCGACTGCAGTTGGTTCGGATCGAGGTTGGAACACATTCTCACCACAAATGAACCGCAACGGAGTTCGTTTGCAAGCAGACCAAGATCACCTCTTCAAGAAGGTCTCGGTCAGGTTGTTTTGGTGCACATCTGAGTGCGATTGCTGTGTTCACACCTGAACAAACAAACCGCACTTAGGGGGCAAACAAACTTGAGTTCAACTGAACCGTACCAAACAGGGCAGGTGTGAAAGCAACCCTAAAAAAAACAAGCCGGGGGCCATATAAACATATAAAAAGATTTTACTGTCTGTAATCCTCTTGTTCATACTGGCCATTCAGTAATCCTTTATTAATGTATTCCAAAGTTTTTATGATCCCTCTGTTGTTTGTGTCTGACTTTATTGTTGTTTTGAGTGCTGTTGCTGTATTTTATCTACAGTTTCTTCTGTTAAGTACTTTACAGGGTGCTATATAATATATAATTAAGTTGATTATAATATTTCCTTGTTGAGCTGCAGTGGAGGGATCATAATGGGAAAAAGACTTTCGAACAAAAAAAGACTGTGGATTTTGTCCCTTTCCCCGATCACTCACATCAAAAGGTGATTTCAACATAAATTGAACGGATTCCTTTGAAGGAATGACTATAGCAAGCGAAATGGAGCTGAAAAGATTAGCAGGGTTTACACACATGTAGGCAAATGGATTTCCATGACCAAGCATTCTGTGATTGCTGAGTATACCGCACATAGGGAGATAAATAGATCAACAGCAAAGGAAAATACTACCGACTGATAACGACTGCTATCAGGGAACAACTGAAATAAGTAAAACCTTGCTGGAAAATCTGTTGCTGTTAGTGAGCTGTTCCAAGTAGTAATAGTGTTGGCACAACTGTCACAGTGACAACCGCCATTTCCTTAAATTCTGCAGTTTTTCATTCTGGATCACTGCTGAAAACTGTAAAATAAAAATCAAATCTGCAGCTACTGTTTGGGTCTGCTTATGAAGGTAGTAAAATAATACAGACTCTGTTGTGTGAACCAAGACGGCAAACTCTATCGCCTCCCACATTGTCAACATAGTTGCGGATGTAGTTACCCAGCATATGAAAATATCAGCGGCCAAAATGTTATGTGGGAAATATGCCAAATCAGATATGTTTCCAAGACAGTTTTATTATGCAGACCAGACTTTAGGATTTTAAAACGGACATCTATTCATACACCAGAGCAGTCTAGAGTGCGTCCCCACATCTTCGGTAGTCACGCACTTCCCCAGAACGTTCTCGGTATAGTTAGGTGATGGATCAGGTTCTCCAGGATAACTTTGAATACACTGCGGGTCTCCTCATAGAACAGAGCGGACATAAGCTTCACTCAACCAAGGCAAGCCAGACGATGGTTAGCAGGCTTGGTGATTCATGGTGACGCTTGCCACACGGAGTCTTTTCCTACTTTACCTCTGACACTAAACCTACGATCAGTCACCCTGTTCAATATGCTGCTTCTTTATTAAGCTTATTTTCAAGCTATTGGGGCCCGAGCACAAATTGCCTTTTAAGGGGGCAAAAGGCCTCTTGGAGCCATGCCGCCAACCCAACAGGAAGTTTCCAGGGGTCGTACTTTAACTAACTCCTCCTACAGATTAGATCCGACTGACTGATCGACTGAATTTTGTCTGGACTATCGTAAGACCTTGGACATCAAAAGTTGCTTAAAGCTCGAGTTTTCATCAAACCATGTGACTGTGGCGAGGTGTCAAATTTCCATGTTTTGCCAACAAGCAGGAAGTGGTTTGTAACTCCAGCACACATGGCCCAATCTGTCCCAAGCATCACGTCTTATAGGCTCAAGGGCCCGAAGCCATCTACATGCATATTAGGTGTCATGGTGATTGCGCCACCTACTGGCAACAGGAAGCTTGTTTTTTCAGACACTACATGAAATTTACATGGTAGGGTCTACAACTGATTTACAGCAACATGACATGTAATTACTATGTCCTGCAGCGCCACATTGTGGAATCAGGAAGTAGTACAAAATGTAAAATAGGTCAGTGCAGCGCCAACACTCCATGGAGGATACGCCATCTCACTCCTGCCGCATCAGCCGGCGTCCTGCCAGCACCTCCGAGTTGCGCAGAGGTGTGAGGGCGCATTCGTCGCAGCTTTAATTTAATATGAAGTTTTACTGCCAGTTACATGTAGGCCGTTGGCTATTTAAAACATATGTCAAATTCTGTATGAAAAAAAGTTGAGCTTAAACCCTGCTACCCATAGCTACAAGTGAAAACAAGTGCTTTGGTTGTGCTTTGACTGCCGCGCTTCCTTTGTGCTGTATATCAAGCCTTCACTTTCCCAGGAGATTGTACCCAGCAGCAGACAGAACTGCAGATGGTGCCATTATTCTACAGCCATTACACTGAGCAATCATTTACTTCATAATAAGATTAAGTGAAAAACTTGTCTATTTCTGCTTTAATTTATCTGATTAATGTGATTCATCAATACATAAAAATAAATTGTGAAGAAGTCTTAAAGCAATGCTTGTTTCAAACTTGACTGTATAAAAACTGCAAGCCTACCCTTTAACTTTTCTCTCCCACAGACACACACACACAGTTTGATGCAACAGCAACCATGTCGCCGGTTCAGTTCCACCTCAGTCAGCATAGACCAGTGCATCAGCAGCACCTGAGTCAGCAACATGACTTCCCTCCCTGCTCCGCCACAGTCACGCCAACAGCTGCAAATGGTCGTGTGCAGGGTCACATTTCACAGAAGGTCACTTATACGTGCCGTGACTTGAGGCCCACCACAAGTTTGGGTCATTTTGTTGAAGAAATATGTGAATAAATAAATAAAAATCTTTGTTGCTGTGCTGTCCTCCCTCTCTGACGCACTTCCTGTTGTTCTACAATTTGGTCTAACTGAAGTGAAAATTAATATCCTGCAACCATGTTGATGCTGCAGATACAAGGGCAATTGATGTATTTTATTTAAAGTAGCACGTTCCTGTGTGGATTTCTCCTGAGCTGTAACTGTAGAAGTGGTTCTCAAAGAGGGGGTCCCATGGTGACAACAGATGATCAATTAAAGGGATGAAACAGACAAAAAAAAATCTCCTACAAAAAATTATGTAGATATTTTTTTAACTCTTTGCTTTATTTCTTAGTGAAATACAGAATTGTTAAATGTCTTTGGCCAAGTAAAAATCTGGGGGTACAGATATTCTTCCTTCTACCCTACATTATCACCATGAATGAAAGCTTTATAGTCCAGAAAGAAAGCTGTGTGGCACACTAGCTCATGAATCCCAAAATGCATCAGCAACTCTCACCATCTTACCAACAAACTACATTTTTAGACACACTGAGGAAAAAGTCAATAGCCATGTAAAGCAAAAAAGAGAAACAGCATTTGGCTGGTGGGTGGCAACTTCCCATCCTGCTTGCAGTCCTTCATTTGGCCACAGATAGCGAGTGTGAAACTGACTCCACACCAGCAAACAAAAACTAGCCTGTCTATATTCAGTGGCTGAAGCTACTGGTGAGGTAGGTAAAGATGAACCAACAAGCTAATCTGGCCTTTTCAATTGTTTGTCAAAAATTGAGCAGCTGATCCTTTACATCATATCCACCGGTCAACACATGCTCTATTAAAACTCCAAAAATGCTTACTAAAAATAAGAAACAAAGACATTTTGGATAAATAAAAATACACATTAGTGCACGCACACATTCAGGCATGGGATCTTCCCAAGCGTGTTCAACACCTAACCTGTTGATCAGGACAGACTGCATATCATGGATGTGAACAATGGACTCCTGCCTGATCACACCAACTTCTTCACCACCACATACAATCGTACCCAGGGCTGCAAAAATGAATTAATTAGTCAGTCTAAGCAATTTGTTACTCCTCTGTGACAATAAACTGAATATTTTTGGGTTGTGGGCAAAACAAAACATTTGATGACATCATCTTGGGCTTTGGGAAACACTTAATGACCATTTACAGACCAAATAACTAATCAATTAATTGAGAAAGACAAATTAACTGTTATATTTCACTGACTCTGTGCTAATTTTGATAATTTGATGTCAAGTTGTTACAATTTATTGATCAGGCAACAACAGCAAAATTATAATTTTTCATGTTTTTCTGACATTTTATGGCCCAAAAACGTTGGAAATAAAAGAGCATTTTCTGCATATTAATCAACAATGAAAACACTCTTTAGTTGCAGCCCTTATTTTGAAAATACTCCGAATCCAGCCTCTTAAATGTGAATAGTTTCTGGGAGGGGTTTCAGTCTTCTATGTTCATTGACAATACGGCACAGTTCAGTTCGGTACACTTTTTTTCTGTTTCCACTGTAAAAAGTTGTGGATGGTACCAATGGAACCGTTCCGTACCGTCCCCATTT